TAATCATGAAACCGAATCACATTTATTCCTATAATGTATCATTAAAGCATCCTGTCGATCTGTAAAATATCTACTGCTTTTCATCTGTACAGCGCTCTTGTTGGATATAAATCCCCTCGTTACTGATATATATTATTTAGTGTTATATATATTTAATTCATATAGTGATGCTAGGAATGATGGTTTTTTGCTTCTGACATGATTTGACACCTTCGATTCGTTCCTCAGGTCATTGAGCCGTCAGTTCGTTTCACTTTTTCCTTTTCTCACCCGGAGTTCGACGCATGAATAGCGAGTCAGTTGCGCAAAACACGATTTTTATCGCTCGCATTAAAGCGCACCGAAGTTTGGCTCCAGTCGGTAGAGCGGTTTAGCGCCATTGAACCTTTTGCCTTGTCCTTGAGCGCGAACACCATCAGGCCGTTCTGACTTTTTTCGGTCCCGTGACCGTCGTCCGTATTCGTAGGCCGACAATAGTTCCGCCAAAACCCCACCGAACCGAACCGAATCGAACTGACCATTTCATCTTCCGTGGGATTTTGACGACCCCCGAAAGATTTCTGGGAAAACTGTTCGGGCCGAAACCTTAGAGGAAGACTTTAGTCGTCAGGTCTTGTCGGCAATTCTGCCAGCTTCTTCGAATATTCCTTACTGAAATGATTTCTCCTTATTTTACACTGTTCACATTCGGTTAGTCTTCTGCCGAAAATTCGCCTAGTAGACCGGCGTTGCTCGGTCGGTACAGCGTCGGACCCAGAATCGAGCAATTTTTGGTTCAAACTCCGGTCAGGTCAGGCCATTTACTCTTTTCATCCATCTTTTCGAGGTAGATAAATGAGTGCAACGCTAAATAATCATTGCCACAGAAAAGAGGGTCGTTTCCACGCAAATTTTCATTAGGCTACGATGAACTTATTCCCCTAGCTCGAACTTTCCTATTTATAGTGGACGAACTTTCTGCTACATCATACTTTTAAATTGTTGCCTAATAATGAATGTCCGTCTCTCGTACGCTTGCATGATTGGCGGGCAATTTGTGTCGTCCTTTGTTTCATGAAGCGTACGATGCGATCTACGTTTTCGTACCATCAGCCGTGAGTGCCTTATTTTATTGAAGACAGATTCAGCATCTGTTTGGCAAGCAGAGTGCTAGTTTATTGATTCAAGACCCGGCATCTTTCCGCTCTATCGAAAGTGTGAACATCCGCGATCATTCAACCTCGGATCGTTCTTAGAATGCATAGTTTGCGATACATTTTGTCATATTACAATCGCACTAAAACAAACATATTTAAATATCGAAGTTTTGCTTGAGTCGAGTTCGAAATTGGCTCTAAAAATTATTTAGCTTTGTGTGGTATCGCTCCTTGGAGACGAACTGAGGTCTGAAAGGTTGGGGACTCCGTACATAATACAGTTATGGGGTATCCTCCTGTAGAGTTTATTTGCAATTTCGATTGCAATCGAACAGGTGTGATACAGTGTATTTATGGTAGATGATGAGTTGCTAATCGACGTTTCAGTCTGCATCCCAAATTTTCTTCAGTCTGTAGTTAGCTGCACCTTTGCCTGCTGGTTGCAGGAACGACCGGTTCCTGGTACAAAAATTGGCGGCATTTGCAAACTCTACCCGGAAACCACCGCATCCTGACTAATCACCAAATATATCTATAAAGCACCACAAATAAATACCGATATTACGAATGTTTTAGGAAACTGCCAGTTTCCAGTACCGCCAGTAAGAATAGCATTCACTTGGCATTACTCCGGATTTGCACGGCATAGCGCACCGTCCTTTTGTTTCTAGTACCCTATGGCACCGTTTTCAGACAGTCATGGCTCCACAGCGATCCGACACTTTAAGTCCATTAGGTGGTGCTCTTTTGCGCCTTTGCACTTCATGTGCTAATATTCTGTGAAGCCATGAACTTCTTAAACTGCCCCCTCCTCCTAGGCTACTGTAAGCGAGGGGGGCGGTGCGATACGCCGTTCAAACCTGCAGAAGTGACAAGAGAATAGGTGCGTAAAGGTTTCAGATCTTTTTCCTTTAGGGTTGCGGAGGCAGACGAGTTAACGACTCCAATGTTTCCTATAGCGTTGAGCTTCGACAGAAGACTATTTCAGTCTGAAACTGAGTGTGTCATGGTACCTGCCTTACGCCATTGTTGGCTTTTCCAAAAGTCTTCGGCCGGTCGTTTGAGCAGGTTGTAAATTTTTTGCCTTCTTTTCTGGAAGGCACCACGGATGCGACGTTGTCAGTTTCAACCGAGCGTTCTGGAACTGACCGTAAACAACGTTCTACGGGAAAGTGAGATAATGTCACTAAACCAATTTAGGCGAAACCTAAATACGAACGTTGTTTTGTATTGTTATTCATTAGTTAAATGTACGAAACATATCGCGAATAGAGTCAACTTCAATATTCACCTCTTTCAGGACTGAATAATTATTTGTACATTTTATACACAGCGCTATATAGTGTTTATTTTGACTTGTGACTGAACGTTGTTTTTGCTCGGTAATGTCTTTGATCTGATCAGTAGCCGATATTTCGCTAGTATGAAGGCAGTGTAAGTGATCCCTATGGCTGCTTGCGCCTCAAGATGCTGGTTGATCGTCGAAAAGCTGCAGACCTCACTTAGAGGGCCGGATATACAATAAGGGAAAGTGGTTTCGTGAACATGGATCACTCAAAGAAAGCTGTGCTCCTACTAGTCCATTCCCTTTCGTAAGAAATTTATTTCTTGCCTTTCATTAATTTTCGGAAACTGCTCGATCTAGCGCTGTATATTAATTATTGTTATATTATTAGTATTTGACCTCAGTTTTCGATAAAGCGATTCATTTCGGATATCGGTGATTATCGATTTAGGGCGTGGTGACACAATGGCAAGGAGTTCTGTTTTGAACTCCGAATCCGATTCAGAACCGAACCATTGTCTTAGCCGCGAATCTTACTGAACAAGGAATTAATCCAACGTTGTTTCGCCCAGCCAGGCGAGAAAGGGGCAAAAAGTCGACGACTTGAGCATAACAAGGACAGTATGGTGTTCTCGCCTGGTCATGTCAGAATGGACGAGGGATACGGCGATCCGGTCCAATGCGAAGCGCCCTTGTGCCATTTGACAGCTGACTATCCACCGTAATATCAAGCATACAGTGTAATCCGGAAAAGGAAAGGAATTAAGCAAAGGATGGATCCCATTTGATATGTTTCTCTGTATGTGGGACAAATTCTTATCTTATTGAAAAATGGAGTTACTAACATTTATTTTTCACATATGGGAACAAAGGCACGAAAGCGTCTTTGTTGACCTTAGAAATTTAAACGTTAGGATTTCACATCCAATTAAGGTGGACGATGTTTCTGTTGTAGTGCAGCAAAGAAGTCCTTCCATAATACAGGTGAGAAACGACTGCTAGTCAATCACCCTTGCATAATTTAGACAACTTGATACCGTGTTCATCTGCTGTATCGCTGACCTCTGTGAGGTTAGGCCCATATGTGCTCGGTTCACTGGCCACCGATTGACAAGATTTATCGCCAGACTGTGCCTATTGGATGAGAGAAGACAAATTAGTAACCGTCCAAGATGGGACAATTTAATTTTTGGTCTACAAGTGCAGTAGTGGTAAAGGAAGACCTGAATGAGGGAAGACCGGATGAAGTGATTGACAGTCTGTTTGACTGTTGAATACCTCTCAGTCAAGATATCAGAGAAAGACGTTAGGCTAAGCCGACCTCATGTTGATTGAAGTTGTGGAAGGTGTATCGAAGTCAACAACCAGGACGGAGGCCCGCATGCCAAAATGAAACACCGCTGAGTTCATAGAGGTCTAATCGGGTAACGAAAAGGTGGATGGCTGACACAATCCTTCCGGCCTTGTAGTACGTCCATTCAGGGGAAATCTGCTATGACCTAATACATTTGGCATTATCAGTATTTGTCAGCAAAATGTAAACATCCTGTCTCCTCTAAATAACTGATAACCTGGCTACACTGACATGATCCTGTGAGTGATTCAACCACTCCTTGTATTCTGTCCACTGCAGATGCCCAAACCGGTCGATAAACGTTGCTTGATACTCCCTGCGAATGGTCCCGTCATTCGCGTCAAATAGGTGATGAAATGCATGATCTAAACAGTGACATACAGTAAACCAGTGACTGTTTCGCAGATGGAATGGCGTCTGGACTAAAGTGATTTCTTTGACCGGTTCCTTTCAACTTCGATTTTCATGGAATTGAAAATTATTACTAAAGGAAGTAATATTACTATTAAAGGAAGCCGCGACCATATAGCTCTGGTTGGCCGTGACGACCGATGATTGTCTCTCATTCCAACGTTGATTTATTTGAACTGCTACGGGTTCATGCAGGGGGCCACCTGTGGGCGGTATATGTTGAAGTCTTTTGCGCGCTTCCCATATTACCGACTGACTACTAAGAAACTGACGTGTACACTATGGTAGATTTGTACAAGGAGAAATTTCTCATTCAAGTGTAATCCTTATAGTAGTATACACTATAGCCGATTCGATCTTCTCATCATTCCTGCTTTTATCTTAAACCTGCATAACGTTTCTGTAATTTAATTTCAGAGACGGGGATAGGGGTAAATCTCAGCTTTTACCTGTACGTAAGTTTTTACTATCTTTTTAATTACTGAATTGTGCACCTTTCCTGCTTCAGACATGCCCGTTACATGCTTAACTTACCAGTTTATAATTTTCAAACATTGCTGAAACGACCGCATGATAGCGTATCAATTAATCAGAATTTGATAGTGTTCAGTGTACGCTGCTTCAGCAGAATAGAGTGTCTTCGGCTTGTTTACAGTTCCCAGCGACGTAATTCCAAATCCTCTGGGAGAGTACTAACGTCGTCTGCTTAATTGTTTACTTCCTTCGGCACCAGCCGTCATGCGTACAGTCAGGTCGTAGGTTTTGATTTATTCCGTGCCATATAATAGCCGTAAAGGAGATCGACAACGACATATATTCTTCGCGATTGTAAATTCGATGTTGTTCTCCGCAAGGGGAAGTGGGACGTTGACCAAGAAATTAAATCTGTCGTCATCGTATGTAACACCATCATTTTAGGTTACAGATCGGCGTCGAATAAAGTGCCTAAGGATGCCCGAGGAGGGAATCGCATTTCAGGGAGTATGAGGTGGAGAGTCTTCCTCTAGCGACTAGTGGCTGGAATTTCATTTCGAGAACCCAAAAACACTCGGTACAGGATGGAACAGTACTAATCATGGCTGACAGGTGGTCTTTGTTCTTTAAGATAAAGATATTCTGGCTTTAACCGAGCAGGAAACGTTTTAAAGTAATTTTCCTTACAAAACATGACGAATTTTTTTCCTGGTGCCATTGATTCTCTGATCATAGTGTATTGCTATAGCCTTATTCACTACCGAGAAAAATGGAAGGACACTGTGACCTCTGGCATATTTTTCAAAGAAATTTACAGGGAATCCAGACAATCGTTTTAAACTACAGTGTACGCAAGAGTAACTGTAAAGAAAAACTGAGAAGTTCCTTTTGTGCGTGGGTAATACTAAACATCGATAGATGGTTTGAAATGGTCTTCAACACCTTGTAGTGCGAAAGTTTTAATAAAAACAGTTACTCCAAAACATCCTCACGTTACAAACAATATTTTACTGATTTTCGATACCAGGGCTTATACGATTGTTGATAGATCTTCGGTATAAAGGGTCATAACTGTAAGAGAACTCTGCTTAGGAAGAATGTCGTCGTTGGATTCAATGCTTATAGGTACGATGAGGATTCGAAGTCAACTCCATTTGTTCAGAGGCCGACGTTTCGTGTTATTCATCGGCATGACATACACTACTTGTGTTGGGCTATCTTTGGAGTTCATGATTCCATAATCGACCTTAACGTTGTAGTCCGAGAAGTTTTCTGGAGAATAGAGACAAAAACGGCGGCTTTAAGTTTTCTGCATGTCTATCGCTTCCGAATCTGGAGAATTACCCTAGAATCTGATGGTTCCAAGGAAGAAATAATTAACATGTACGAACGTGTTAACCTGTAGAATGTCGGTCTTTGTTGCACTTTCATTAATGATGGCGCCATTTCAGGCTTTTCTTTACATGAAGTTAATGGTGGGGGGGGGTGATCATCATTTCCATGCCATCAGTTAGGAGTGCCTTATTTTAAAAGCAGAGCCGAAAACAGCCATTTGGCAAGCACGTTGTGTAGTGTCCTGTTTCCTTTCCATAGAATGGTGCTCATTAATCAACTTTGGAAAGAATAAAGGCAAATGACCTTACCGGGATTCGAACCTGGGACCTTTCAGTTCTGCGTCAAACCGCTCTACCGGCTGAACGTCCCCGGTCAGTGGTAGTGGATAGGTACGGATATTCTAATGTAATAATAATAAATTAGCACTTCACTGTTCTACAGACAAGTGGTCATCTTTCAGCCGAACCACTTCGATTACTTTCAGGGAAAACGTCTTGACGATCACTGTAGTTTCGCTACAACGGCAGTTATATTAAAATATCTGTGTGTCTGTATGAGTATGTCTAGAACAATTAGATTGACGATTTATTGAAGAACAAGAGGCGGAATTTAGACAAGTTTCAGAAACCTAAAGTTACTAATAACATAGAAAACTTGTGCCAATGCCGTTTCGCAGACGATTAAAGATGATAAGCATTTTTGATATCATAGATGGTGACAGTGGAGTAGGTAAATCTTTAATAATCCAAGAATTTGGAAATTATGCAAATGGTGCACAAGGGATTGAGGAACGCGCGACCATTGTTGAATCCGAGATAAGCTCCAAAAGGATCTTTCACCTTAAGGTAGTAAACCGTGCGTGTGACAGGCTACAATTTGACATATTGATTTTTTCTATGAATTGATGTTCCGAAAATAAAGTCTAATAATTTGTTTTAAACTGCAGGTTGAAATCAGAAAGGCAAGAAAGGAAAGATTGTAACTTTTAGAATGTCGATCTTGCTTATATACTTATGACCGGTACATTTGTGGTGTCCATATTTCCATGAAGTTAGCGGTAAGGGCGTAAACTGGTCTCCATTTCCATTCCATCAACCGCAGAGCCGAAAGCAGCAATTTAGCAAGCACAGTGTGCAGTCTCCTGTTTCCTTCCAGCAGGAACGATATGAATTTATCAGCCATGGAAAGAAGAGAAGTTAGTGTCTCCGACCGGGACCTCCGACCGAGCAACCCTGACATGAAGCCGGTTGTGGTAAATCGCTTGTAAAGAAAATTCGGGATTTAGCCAAAGATTGCTTTTTTGCTGCAAATGATCCCGGCACCTCCAGAATTCGAAACCGATCTCTCAAACTCTGCGCCACTCCAGCTTGAAATAAGCTTGAAATCGAATTCAGGCATACTTACTCATAATCATGGGATTGGTTCTGATTAAAATAAATGATTCGATGGTGCATCATAGTGTATAGTTGAACATGTCTTAGAGAACCTTCTAACTTTAGAGAAGAGCGTTTCATTTCGGCAAAGCAAATCACGATCATCATCACTGAACAAAAGGCGGTCGTCGGTAATGCTGTGTTTGCTCCTTACAGATCGTCATAGTACGTCATGTGCTACTAGAGTTGTTTTTGAGGCAGTGACTCGTCTGATGCATTTGCTGCCGGGCAGCCGTCGTCAAGAACATGATGTAACGCCGGTTATTTCTCACCTCGTGACATGGCACGTCTTCACTTGTCGTTTCCTGTAATTAAAGACATCAATAAATGATCATCTGTTACAACAGGAGGACAGGACAAGATTGTTTCCTGCTTGTTCGCTAGTGACTGGAAACGGGAGGAGGTTGAGGTACATCAGCTCATCTGATACTCAAACAGGGGTAGACAGGCGGATGAACGGTGCTCATTGTTGTTCTTTCAGAAAGTCTTTAAGGCTCGATCGATCAGCTGAATTAAATGACCGACGGGCATACCGTCGGCACGAAATGAACATTGTAATTAAGGGGTTTGTCTATATTTACCGTGCGGCGACAAACCTATCACTCAAAGCGCCGTCAAAACTGAACAAGCATCGTTTTGCTATTTTGTTAGATGGTAATGATTTATCATTAAGCACTGACGAGGCGCAAACATCGCCACCGCCACCGTCTCACGATCGTCTCCGTTACGAGCGACTGCCATCGCCGAACCGTGCGGTCACTCAAAGCTGACCGACGGCTATTCTTATGCGTCCGTTCGTCTGTCCGTTCACTAACTGGCCAAAGCGGTGTGTGCACAGCTAATTACCGAACAAATCTATTACATTATTTATCGGCTTCGTGTTGTGTTGATTCTGTCTGGCCTCGTCGTCTCGGTGGGGAAACAATGCACGCTGGACACAGCTGTGTCACACGCGGTCGTTCGGCCCCTTAGCTGCCTGTCACGCGGCCATCGACTTATCATTCAGTCACGAGGCAAATCTTGACTCACATCGCCATCGCTACACATAATGCAATTAGCGTCTTACATGTAATTTGCATTATATGCAGGGCAGGGTCCATGGTACATATGTCCCCCGCTTCACACTTCGGTCGTCTCAAGATCGCCTAGCACCGATTGCGCGTCCGACGAGTATGTGGTATGACGCAGGGCCTTCGTTCGCCACGGCCATTGTTCGACCCGCGAATTACTAACCGATGACACATCGTCTGATGGAGATGTGCTTTTGTGTATCGGTCGAGTGGTATTTGCCGTCGTGGAATCTCTTTAGCAGTAAACAAACGATCATCAGATCTGACAGATGCCAGGCAGAATGCTTGTGATTCACTGACAGCAAAAACGCCACAGTAAGAAAGAAAGAAAGAACGGTGGCTTGTTCCGCTGAGTAATGACGTTCATGTCTTTTGAACCGATTCGCGGGAGGGTGATTGCCTGACCGTGTAGCTGGAAGAGAGCAAAAAGAACATAGTTGTTAACGGTGCTTTTTATATTTGATTTTACTGCGGCACCTGCATAAATTATGGTGAAGTGGCTAGCTGGGAGACGTGGCCATTTTTATAATACACATTTGCATCATTGTAATGTTCAACAAGACTAGAAAACTAGTTTTGTTTCCATGGAACTAGGCTTGATGTTTTCCTCCGAACTACCTTGTTTTGTTTTCTCATCATTACAGAGGGTCGGCAAACGTGGATTCGTGAAGAAAACTGAAATGAATAGAATACACCTCCACGATGAATCGAATGAGTTGCAGCCGAACACTGGTTCGGTTCTGGCCAGTTCATTGGCTTGCCAGCATTGCTTACATGCCGTTGACGCTCTTCATAGAATACCCTGCTGTTGGTGTTTTTCTTGCTTAACGTCAGCACTCTTCACAAACAAGGCTCTTTGCCTCACTGTCAGCTACCACAAAGAATGGAATCGCACAACCTTGAAAATTTAGCCACAGTTTCTTTTGCCGACGGTTGCAAATGCTCTACGAATAGGAATAATCTGTGTACCTTTCAGTGATTTAAAAGGAACGTTAGGCTTTGAAAGCCCGCCCATCAAGGGCTTTCCAGCTTGCTATCTTCAGACTTGTAATTCAACTTGATTAGCGCTACTGATGTCTCAGCACTATTTCTGCCGTAGAAATGTCGAATCTGAAGGAAAATGATAAGAAACTGAAGTGGTGTTTCGATTGCACTTCAGCTCTGAGTCTCTATGCGATTACCTTACGTTTTCGGCCGTTGACGTATCATTCAAGTCGGTCAGCAAAATTTTTATGCAAAAATTTACACCAGAATTCTTCGAGTACTTAAAAAGAAACTTTGGCTTATGCTGATCGCCAAAGAGAAGCAAAATCATGGACATGCAGGTATGAAGTATGCAATGTCATCTCGATTGCGATCTCTGATCAGCGGCTAAAATTAAACCAGATTAGGCGGGACGTAATTAACTAGAACAGGTTGCCTGGGTTAATTTATTTTTCAATTAAATAGTAGCAAAATAAAATAAAAAGTAAACTTACCTTCATTGGAATGTTACACTTTCGTGATTGGACTGTTTTTTGGTACCATTCCTTTCACTAAGTTACTGATGGTTCGCTGTTCTCCTCAAAGGCAAAATTGATAGCTCTGTGGCAAGCAAATGTGTAATCTCTTGTTTCCTTCTCACAGACTGGTAATACTCATTTTTCAATCTCGGAAGCAAGAAAGGAGAGTTACCTGATTAGGGCTCTAGCTCGGGACCCCGATGATATAATGGTAGAGCAATACAGAGTTTAAAAGGAACTGAAAGTACTTTCCAATCGATTACTGACCGGAAATATCAAACTTTCCCCTTAAATCCATCGATCATTCCGTATGATTAGTTAAAGTGAGTGATTTTCGGAAATGCTCCATGGCAGAAGCCCCGAAAGTTTAATGCTCTCTGTGGCCCATCGGCTTCCTCTTGACTTTTTATCGGTGGTTGTTGAAATTCAGGTACCATGATTGTTCGCAAATCTGCGACTGTCATGTCATTTGTATCCATCTGGGCTGCCTTCTTTTAGCACCTGTGTTATCATTAAATTCTTATCAGTTGAGGATGTCGAGTTGCTCAGAATAAACTTTCGTTATGCATGCTTTGTCCGATGACGCTTGATTAATCAAAGCTATAACAAATAAAACTCAAAGCTCTCTTTCTTCCCCGGAGATGGAGCCTGATTTGTACTTTGTTGCCGAATTTAGATGTAAGTAGTGCGTATATAAACGAATTCATGAGTATTTCGTGACATACTTCAGAAGTCCTCGTTCCTCTTACCGTTTTCTTCTGAATTTTCAGTCGGGGAAATGATTAATTGTACAAAATCTCGTAAGTTGTTCTTCAAACTCTCATCTGTATTGAGCTTGGTTCATTCAACTCGTTCATTCCTTCAGCCCTTTTTTCTCGCTCCGTGATTTGAAATGCAAAAATGTTCTTGTTTCTCAATCGGTGTATCGAGAGACAGGGAAAGAGGAGCTGTCTATCGACTTTCAAGGCGATCATACTACACGCATCCTACTGGAGCATGAAAATATCATTTTACGTTGCCAAAACAACACTGCTTTCTTTTCCTCTTTTTCTTGAAGTTCATGATGCAGCTGTAGATAAATGATTCCAGTGTAGATGCCATACAAGTGACGGGCCACACAAGCCATAATTGCTTTTCACAATGTTGTTGCAGTGGATATATAGTACGACGAAATTTATCGTCATCTTGTTTATTTCCGGATTGCACCACTTTGCGATATCTGCTTAATCGGCTGTCAGGTGGATCAAGGCGAAATGTAGTCTTGATTGCTTTACGGCACAGTCGTAAGAGGTCAGCTTTGAACTCCACAGGTACCGGTGGAATTACAGCAATAGCAAACAACTACTCTTAACTTTATCTTAATCCCTTGAGCAAGGATTTTACCACACAAACCGAGAAACTTGTAAGAAACAAGTCGTCGACGTGCTAACAGTATGAAGCTCATGGTGCCCTGGTATGGTTATGCCGCAGTGAACGTGAGGAACGATCATTCCGTAAATTGAATGGTGCTCCGGTTGTGGCTGCAGTTCGCCTTCGTGTACGAGATACCTAACTGTGCAGTGCGATAATGAACGTAAGGTATGAAGATGTGACTCCTGCTGTTGTTGTAATGGACGCGCATCAGACAGCTGACCTCACCCTTATGCCGTCCTGCATGACACCACAATGCCTTGTTCTCACTTTCGATCGCTGATCAACGATTTTCTGCTTGTTTCGGTTTCAGTTCCTTGCTCAGTGAAAGTAACGCGTAAATTAGAAAATGTTGGTCGATGCCCTGTGCATAACCAAACCACTTCTAACTGCGAAATTGCCCCCTCCCCATCGCCTGCCTAAATGTCAGTTGTCGGCAAGGATACACGTCAAGAACTACTTTGAACACTTAGAGCTTGTGTATTTAAGAGTTGCTGACGGGCCTTCAAGGTTGTTAAGAGAAGAATCCCGGCGCTGATTTCCTGAACTTGTTGCTTAATGTTCTCCAGGAAAACGAGAGGATGAATTCTCGCGATACGGATTATGCATATGGGTTAGCACGTATTGACGGTAGGATCGAATGAAGTAAACTAGAACAACTGCAGATTTATGTCATATTGGGAAGAATGATCAAAAGTTTTGTGAACCCTGAAATAACCACAGTATGCCACGTGTCGTGTCAGTTTTTCGCATGTTTTCGACCATTAATCGACTTCGATTCTTCTTTATCTGTTTTTGAACTGGTTGTATCGGAGTGGAGCGCGAGACGTTGCATTTCTCGTTAATGAAAATGAGCAGCTACTCTGCACTAGAGCTTAGACTAGTTATTTTACTTAAGTCATGTGAGCATGAGAAAACGTCATACGTCATGACCTCATATATTTGCTATGACTACATGTCAGATCATACTAGATCCATTTTTGAGGGCATATGTCGCACCATATTAATGACGGTTTAACTGTGCTTGTTTAATATGGCCCCTGAAAGTGTATCTGGTCTGTTTTCAAACTTCATGCGATTTATATGATTCATAGTCTCCTTGTCCTCTGTTTTCTCTTTATAAAATTCTGTTGTTTCGGTCCGTCAACTGCAAGCCAGTTATAAACCTGGTTGATGAAAAATTGATTATAAATGTAATTGTACAGCTAAACGCAGAGTTAATAATTAAATTTTACAAAGTTAATAAAAAATAGCTGTAACCTTGAGGGCCTGCAGAAACTTGGCGACCGCTTTAGTGGCTCAGACACAGAGGCATTCAGATCAAACCAGTCACAGAGTGCCGTTAGTATTTGAGGCGGCTAGTGCCGCTACCGTTGCTCTGTCTGTTTGCAAATGTTTGCCTTGACTAAACAGATCTTCTTTGTTCTCGTCGAGCAAACAGACGAATAACCGGACCGGAGTGCTTGCCTACCGTCTGCGAAAGGTCTTCGTGCGCCTCTTGGCTTCTCGTCGGAAGTCACCGTACGAATTATTGACTTTAGTTTTACTCGTTTTTGTTATTTGCCTTTCAGAACTTTTGTTTTATGTTTCTAATAACGAGAAATAACTTTTTCTCTACGTGTTTACTTATTTCAGGCTCAACGATGGACGAGATGTGGGAGCCAGTGACCGAGTACGCCTGTGAAGGGGACCTGTTGAACCTGACCTGCCCGACTGGTCACGTGATTCGAGTGATAATCGCCAATTACGGTCGTTTCTCGGTGAATGTCTGCAACGAGCAGGGCATAGAGTACCCGAACACGCAATGCCGTCACGAAAAGTCCACCTGGATTATGTCCCTCCGGTGAGTCAATTACTTCTCCCTATCACCATTTAAATTTTAAGACCTTCTAAGAGGATGCAACTAGACAGAGTGCAAAAATATGGATAAGCAGGTAGAATGCGAGATGCCGCTATTTTCACTGATGCAAAATTTAGTTATCTCATTTCTGACTTTCATTCGACAAAATTTTTCAGTTGTCAGAAACACTAGCGTTTTCACATATGTACGAGTATGAATAAAGCCAAGAGTCCACCTTTAAAGTACCGGAAAGCCTCATTTGGTAAAATCAGAAAATAACCTCTCCACCTGGATGAATGTCAGTTAGCCAATAATTCTCTTGTGTTAATCTTAAGGTGACCGCTCAGACTGTTTCCTAACCGACTCATGAAAGTTTAAGCCAGCGGCACAGCAGCGTGTGTATTAACACAAAGGAATGGATCCCTGACCACGATCGGCCATGTTTGCTTGGTGTTGCCCTTCCCAGCTTCAATTATCGTGACTTGTTTTCTGTTTACTCTACTGCGATTCAAAGTAAACATCAGCATTATGCTTCCACGGTGTTTACCGTCCTCTGTGTTTAGTAAGCTTCATCTGGCTTTCGGCTCGATTTACAGCTTTTACTATTCTGTGTGTCATAAACTCCATTCACTAGAGGAAAGAGAATCCTGTCGCCCTTCAGGGTCATCTTCATTGGCTGTCGTCATCGTCAGCGACGTTGTTCATGTTACCGTTGACAGTGGCACTTGGTTCATACCGGTGTAGATAGAAACGACTCGCCATTCGGTCCTGACCAGTAATGTGCCGTTTCTACTGCATTACTGCCTAAGCCTTAGCCTAGATCAAAAGCACGGCGTAACCTTAAAAATGCGTTAAAAAAGTTTATCTTTAGGCATAGGGGTTTGGCTGAGTAGCAATCGTACGGTAAAACCACGATTTTGCTGGCTTCGACTAAACCACAAATCGTTTTCAACCTGTATCGATATGGACGGTAACATGCATACGAAGAACAATTTGGCAATATTCATCGACAAATTAAGGAAGCGAGAAAGCTTACCATAACAGAATAGTCTGCAACACTTTCTCAAAAATAATTATAAATGCTCCTCATAAATGTCCGATGTTTCTTACACGTGTACAAGCGAAATTTCTTTGATTTTAAGCTTTGAGGCTTTATACGGCCTCTTTCTAGAGAAAAACGACCTGTAGGTTTGATTATAATTTTTCACTGATCTTTGCAAACGCACGACATATGGTTCGAAAAGGCAGAATATCACGTGACTGGAGAGGGATAAATAAATGCATGTTCTTATAAATAACGTACCAACGATGGACTGTTATTTATCGATTTGCAGTCGAATGTAACAGCTGGCTATTTTTTCACGCAGCTTAGTGACACGTGTTTCCCATAATCTTCTTAGTAGCCTTTTCGACAGACTGTGCAACCGTCAAAGGAGTCACTTCTTTTCAGTTGTGATCTTCAGAGATTAGCCATTACTATGGGTGCCAATGAAATCCGTATTCGAATGCTTCTTGTGATCTGTTAAGCCCTCATCGCGACGTCATTAGAATGTCGTCGGTCAAAATTGACAGAAACGGTTGTACAACCCTCAAAATGGTTTTTTCTTCTCGCATAGTTTGGTTTCGAAAACATAAAATGAGGAGAACGTAGCGTCGCAGCCGTTCGACCAGCCAGGCGGATGGGATTCAAACAGGTTCAATACTTAATGGCCCAATGTCCGTTAGATTTTGTTGGACACGAGGATGCTTGAGGAAACAGAAGACAGGCCATAACTATTTTTACTCTTTCATAAGGCGAAGAAAGCTGGAAAACACAGGTTGGAAATGCGGTGCTGTTCAAAAGTTGTAACTTTTTGGGGATTTATTTCATCCAAACTTTTATCAAAGTTGATCTTCCAGAAAGTTGCCCACTGATTTTTCTGACAGTAACTCTCTTTATGAAGCTACCAAGATATGCAAGACTGAGTTTTGCCCAGTAACTAAGGAACAGACGCTGCTCATGTTCAATTCGAACGGCTTCTGAGATTGTTGTTAGACGGAAACGTTGCTCTTATCGAAATGAAGTGCTTCTTTTCAACTGTGGAGTAATTAAAAGGACCTTCTGTCTGTCCGTGATGCAGCCATAACATTCGAAATTTGCCAAACACCGTCCCGGTCTGTAGTAAACTACGTGTGTGAAAGTTGTATATCGGAGAAGTGGCATACAAGTCCATTGAAGCATTCGATATACGCCAGTACCATTATTAAAAGGACCTCTGAACCGGAGGAAGTCAGAGTGATGGCTTACTGCTTAAACAAGATAACGAAAAAATACTTTCCAGAAGATGGAAAATTAAAAAAAAATATGAGCGAATTAAATGATAGTAAATAACAGCAAAACTAAAAGATTTTCTACAAATATGAATAAATCCGGATTAGCCGGCTTGTATGACCATAGCACGTGAGGTATAAAGATCAGATTGTCCTGAATGGTTGATACTCTGCGTTCTTTTTCCAGCAACGAGCAAGAAAGAATGAAATCGTAATATCTTTTGCTAATCCCTAAGAATACCTACTTCTTAGCAAAAAAAGCTTTGAAATCGGATCAATATCGAGAAAAACGAACTAACCGGATGTTTGGCAGGTAAAATGAAGGTCAGATAGAGTTAAAGTCATGGAATTACGAAGGATTGCATGAGGCACATAAGGGTGCAGTGCTCACTGGCTAAAGGTAGGCTTCGAACTACGTGGGTGCCGTGTTCGAATCCCGAAAATGAAAAATAGTTTACCTAAACTATTTCATAATTTCTCTTTTAATTACCCCATTTTGCTTCGTCACA